ACATTCACTATACTTTCTTTTTTAAAAAATAATAACATGAGAAAAGTATACTAAATCAGCCAGACATGGTGACATACACCTGTAATCCCAGCTGCTCAGGAGTCTGACAGAGGAGGATTTCAGACTGCAAGTTTGAGGCCAGCCTGGGCAATTTAGGGAGACTCTGTTTCAAAATAAAATAAGGGCTGGGGCTGTCCCTCAGTGATAGAGCCCAGAGCCTAGCATGTGTGAGGCCCTGGGTTCCATCCCCAATACCTCAAAAAGAAAAAAGGAAGGAAGGAAGGAATTAATTCTAAGTCACAATGAAATCCTTCAAAAATGAATTACAAGGGTAGTTTATTTGGATAGTAAGGCAGGAAAAGTATTGGGTATGCTTTATATCATTACCTTTAGTAAGTTTTTTTAAAAAATGGCTTTCTACTGTAAAGACCATAGCATTTCATGCCAAGCCTCAATATTCTACTCTATAACTATCTGCTCTTGAAAAACTGAGCTCACTCTTGAGTGTCTGCCTACACACTTGTGCACATGTGTATGAATGGAAAGTACTGAGGACTTTGGGCTGGCCACACCTGAGGTTAAAACCTAATTTTATTACTGGCTGCCTTGAAACAAGTTGTATCTCAGTTTCCTCACCTATAAATGGGACCCTGGCATCTTACTGAGTTCTTAAGCAGATTAAAAATACAATACACACACAGTGTAGAGCACACCACCTGGTTCATTAAGGAGCACTTCAATTTTGTCAGTGTACTACTCACTCACACTGGGATATTTTACCCAACCTCTTGCAAATAGGCATAGGTGAGACCAGGCAAAAGGGAATGATCAATAATCCAAAATTCTGCTCCAACCCTGAGAAAAGCACACAGAGGGCACATGCACATACAGAAGCACTTACAGGGACAAATATCACCACCCAAATCCTACTAGCCTATTATGCAGGTCAAATGACAGGAAAACAATTGTAAAGCCAATGCTATATCCAATAAAGGGTTTGCAGGGCCAAAAAGAACTAGCAAACCAAAAGTAGTTTTCTAGAATAACAATGGCACAGTCTAGAAGTTCCCTAACTTGGGCTTCAGCTTTCTTTGGCTAAACACTGAAGGTTGTGGGAAGTGTATTTCTGGGGGTTTCCATCCCCCAAATTCTGTGGCTCTATGATAATGAGTGTCTGATAACACTGTACTTTTTAAAAAAAAATCTATTAAGTTGCTGTGCCCTTTACAAAAAGTTACATGACCACTATGAAATGTTCAGTGGTACACACACACACACACACACACACACACACAGGGATAGCCACTAGCTGTCCTCAACAAATACTCTTCAAGGGTAGACCAATTTTTTCATACCACACCATAAACTCAAATTGATACTGATGAAATGATTTAAGGATATTGACCACTTGAATTTTCTCTATCAGACAAAATTATTTACTCATTATTTTTCCCCTCACTGAATTTACTTAATTGACATTCTTTGTTGTCATGCAAATAAAAGTTAGCTAACTTATATGAATGCCAAGAAATTTTTTTTTCTCTTGAATGAGATGTTTCACCACTGCTCTTAATCATTCAAACACCAGTTTGTTGAGCAGGCTTTAACAACTGCTGACCACCTAAGGAAAACTAAACAGCTACAAGGCTGCTTAAAGATCAACTTCTAAACTAAGGGAGGAAGATGAAAGATCTATCATAGACCAGTCAGAAATACATGTGACCACATCGGACCAATAAGTTCTTTAGTATACATAATTTTTGGCCCAACTTTAAAACTACTTTTAAAAAGATGCCAATGAGATAGTATGTTTATCTTGTACTCACAGGACTCAAATGTAACCAAATAAAGTAGACATAATTTTTATATCAGAAAATTAAGCCTCTCCTGATCAAAAATTATGAACACTTCAGCAACTTTTTTTTTTCTTTTCTTTTGGTAACTCTGTCATCCTACTTTTTAATGAGAACAATTCTCCAATCATGCAGGCATATGGATGCTTTTTGTTGGCTTTAAGATCAATGATATAATGGATATCAAATCCCTTTGTATAAATTATCATACAGGTTATAACTATTTTGTGAAAATAATTCCAGAGCCCACCAATTCTCCCTGTGAAGGTCATGGAGGCTCTGGACCATCATGGCTGAATTGTTTTACTGCTTTCTGCTGAACACCTGCAAACATCAAACAAAAACTGCAGGTCCTTTCCTGGGTTGACAAAAGCCTTTCATGTGAAAAATGCTCCCTGGGAATGTCAGGCTGTAGCTCAGGTTACATTCCATTCTCCCTAGCAGCCTCCCCATTTCTTAAGGTGGTAGGAAAAACCATGTTTGTGAAATGAAAGATTAAAGAGAATATAGCCACACATTATTTTCGTTCTCACATTGCAAATCATGATGGAGCATCCTGTATTAATGGAATCAGAAGCTATTGGGAACTTTTAAGCATGAAATATTACCATGCCTCACTCTGAAAAAAATATAGCTGATTTTCAACTAGATATAGTTTACTTATAGTTCATCTCTCTTATAGTTCCTGGATCCAAGTTTCAAAGCTACTCATGAAAGTGACATCTGAGTCCACTCAGGACAATGGATATTAACTTGAAGTAACTTTAGAAAATTATTTCTCTGTCCAAAGTTTCCTAGTTCATCCTTTCAGTTAAAGGGCAAAGTGCAGCTTTGTGACTTTTAAAAAAAATTGTTATGCTTCAGAAAGATTTATCTTTTATTGAGTAGAATATAAGTCATCTTCTTCACTAACCCTGTGTTCCAATATGTCTTCATAGATGAGGAAAATAAACATTCCAATCTGCATCCTATATGCTACAGTCACCATCATGCAGCACTGAATGAACACCCTGCGTTTTCAATCAGACAGGCAGAATAAAAGAGTCAATAACTTTCTACCCTTACAAGTAAACATCTGGTCCTAAAAACTACACTGCTGAAACAAAGTAAGTTAAGTTCAACACCTTGAAAATAATCATTGGATATCTACTTCACAGTCATTAGAAATACTGTAACATGGCTCATTAAGGACAAAATCTCTCTCTTATGTTTATGTATGCATAAACACACACACACAAGCAAACATATCTATGTACACACACATCATCATCTTAACTGTGTAAGTTTTGATATGTGATTACTTACCAAAATACATTAATATATATTCAATTATCCCATACTCTCTATGAACACTTAAACATTACAGCAAGGACCTTATTTAAATACGTGTATATAAAATGGTCCATATACACAGCTGTCTAGTATATGTCATACCTCTAACTCACCTCCATTTATTAAACCATATCTAAAGTAATACATTTAAGTCATTCCAAATGTGTCCATCTTTACAACAGTGGAAGCAAGTATTTCACAATGACTTTGAAAGTAGTCCATCTCTATGTCTATCTGACATCTACTTTCAGATTTAAACTAAAAACACATGTCTTAAGTAAAACATTAAGAAAATTACTGTCAGAAATATAGTTAGTTACTGTTTTGACAGTGCCTAACATGAAAAACCAATCTAAACACTTGTACTCATTGTACTCAGCTTTGCTTCAAACATTCATATTAATATTTTCTGTCTTAAAAGTTATAAAGAGAACAGCATATAGAAACAGAAATGCAATAACAATGCAACAAACAAAAAAAAATATGTCCTCAGATAGAAAATATTAGGGTCTAAGAGAGTAAAGCACCAACACATTTTCAACAGTACTTTTAATCAAAGAGGACCCAAAAATATAACTATAGGAGGTATCTCATATAAAAATCAACTTAGAGACAAAATTTCCCTAGACTTAAGGGGGTCAGTAGAAGTTACTTATTTCAAAATGAGCAACTTTTAAAAGCTTTCAATTTACTGCACAAAAATATACCAATTACACAAATTATCTAGGTGAACAGATTTCTTTCATTGCTATTGCACCAGATGAAAATTAAGAGATGTGAAATTATATTTATAGTTGATAGACAACTCCACTGGCATCTTACAGACTCAAAGATGTCAACATTTACCAGTCTGACTTAAGAATAGTACTCTGCCTAATGTACTGTTATATACCATTGCCAGAACTCCTAAAATACTGCAGCTGTTTAACAGGCATAAATGGATTTAAGCCTCGGAATTAAAGGATAGCAGGCAACAATGTATGACTCCTTATTTAAAATTCATTGAACAACAAAAAAAATACATCTTATATGAATATCATGTTTTCAGTCTTCACTTTTAGTAAGAGACATTCAAACAGTCCCTACTAAAAACTCCTTAGATGCCAGATAATCATTGTGCACAGATTCCTTTGTGAATACCGCTATCGTTTTTTTAAGCATCACCCAAAGATCTTTCATTTACAAAATGTTAAAAGTCCTCCCAAATTTGCAACTTTAAATATAGCAAAAATTCTTTGCAAAAGTAAATGATGAGGGAAAAGAAACAGCCAAAGCATCAAAAAAGATATTTTAAGTAGAAATGAATTCATATTTAGCTTCTCAGCTTAGCAAGAGGCTATTTACAGCTACGGTTTACTAGGCAGCATTCATCTGCAAAATTAAGTGCTCGTTGCTTTAAAAGGGTTAATTGTACACAGTACCTAATAACTGATATTATTTACAAGGGATTTCCCCTTTTTATGAAAGTTAGATTTTTCCCCCTCTATTTTCAAATAAGGAACATTAATGTATTCCCCATGTCAACACTGGCATTATCTTCACGTGTTTGATTAGAACTATATTAGAAAATCACTTGTAATTGAGTGACGGAATTTTAAGACCACTTTCTTGACTTTAAAAAAAAGGTCCAATTTTAATTGCAGAAAATAACATTTTATGTAAGTTATATTACTGATGGATAATGAGATAACCATATCATTATAGACAACAATTCAATGACTTTTTTCAGAACACTTCAACAGAGCCAAAAATATGCAATGAGTAAATAAACAGCTAGGAACATTTAACTTCACACTAAGAAAAGAATTTACATACTTGAGCCAGTAAAATGTCCACTCGCCAAAGAAGTTGGTCCATTTTTCCCACTGCTCACAGGAGGTGAAAACATCTAAAAAGAAACAAAGAAATATTACAGTTAATAAGAAGACACTGTGCCTTGAGAGTTCATCAAAGATCTTTCATACTCTTACCAAATAACTCAGAGATTATGCTAAGGGTTTATTTAGTAAAATACATCACCAGCCAACTTAAAGCTAAAACAGGCACAACCTTTCAAAACCCCCTCCTCATTACCACTGTTCTTTCTTTTTCCTCGGGCATACTATTTCTAAGCAGTACTGCTACCCTCTGAACACACACAGTCCCCATGTTATCAACATTCAGGTTGGAGGGTAGCAGCCTTTCTAGAAAACACTAGTTTGACAAAGGAGAAAAAAAAAAGGTGTTTGTTTTATACTGAAAACCTTGGCCATAAACGTGGCAATGTCCATTTCCATCCTGTACAGGATTTGCCTGTCATATGTGAACCCAAATAAAAATATAAGTGCCACCTGCACTAAATTCTCATTTCGTCTCTAACATGAGAGCAATTTGAAGCATCTCTCTCTCTCTCTCTCTCTCTCTCTCTCTCTCTCTCTTTCTCTGTCTCTCTCACTCTCACTCTCTTTCACTCCCTCTCTCCAGCATTTATTTCGACCCTAATTGGTTTCCCTCTTTTCCACGTATCTAGTGGATAATGCACACCTTCCCTGAGTCAAGAGCCTGCGAAAAGCAAAGAAACGAATGGAGAAAGTGCAGCAAGCAGAAAGGGGGCTGCAAAGCTGCCTACGGCTACGTTTCCTGGCAAAACTTCCGAAAGCCATTTCTCCAAAAGAAGGTCTACAAGAGGAGCAGCAGTGGTAGCAGTGGTAGCAGTGGCGGCGGCAGCAGCAGCAGCAGCAGCAGCAGCAGCAACATGAAAGAGCCCCACTTAGAAGGTGGTTTGGATTTTATTTGTGTGTTTTGTGGATTCTTTTTATTTTGCTTTACAAATGCATCTTATACCAAACTCATCTGGCATTAAAATCGAATTCATTCCCCTGACATGTTGGGAACTTGGGTTAGGAAAGGGAAGCAGAGGGGATGGAGAAGGACCAAGTACAGTAAAACTCCACAAGTGTGTAAGTTCCTCTTTGTGCTGATCTCAGGACTATGAAATTTACAAAAATAGTCCAAAGGGTTCTAAAGAATGTATGCTCAGCACATACATAGGAGTTTTCAGAATCCCAGGAAAAGAGGTAACTAGGAGAACTACAGGTCCTACCAATCCACAGCATCATCAGTTTAAAACTTTAAAGACACTACTGGGTCTATTTTCTGTTTTCCATTTCTAGAAAAAAATAAATAAGACAAGGAGTAGTGCATGAAGTATTGGTACTCTCAGTGTTCATATGTGGCCAAGTTTTAGTGGTGGTTTGCAGTTTTAGGGGTGCCTATTTTTCCTGTCCACTGGGGTGATATTCCATTATTTGGGGGAATTGGTGGGTAAGGAATTCAAGGCAAGTAATTCGATTCTTAAAAAAGCCTGAATCGTCCATCACACCCCAAAACGAGTTTAAAACTTGTCAAATAGACCTTCATATTGACCAAGGATTCCGCCAATTAAAAATCATTCCTGTCCTTTAAAGTACTCTTGGTTTCTAGCTGAAGTGTTTGGGGTTTTTGTTTTGGGGTTTTGTTTTGTTTTTTTTTTTCCACAGCTGTTGTTAGTTTCCACCGTTCTTTCTTACCGCACTGAAATCCAGTAAATCACTCAGCTCTTTGTCCGTCCCTAAGGCAGCCATTCGCTGTTGGTGATGCATTTTAGCAAAATCACACAAACCTAGAAACATGGAAATAACCGCAATCAGAAAATCCAGTCCCAATCCTTGAAGAAAACACAATCGGATTTTTGGAGACTGGGGGGTTGGGAGTGGGGATGTGGGGGCGGGTGGGATTAAGGTAGAAAGGAGGGAGGGATGGGAGAGTTGTTGGGTTTTGTTTTGTTTTGTTTTTAAGATGGAATAGGCAGCAATAGCAAAAAAAAAAAAAAAAAAAAAAAAGAGAGAGTTTTTTTACAAAAAGGAGAAAAAAACGGGAACCACCCCCTCTAAAACCAAATGCGGGGGGGGGGGGGGGGGGGGGAAAGCCGCTCTTCAGCGCATCGTTTTATGCAACAGGAGGTAGAGCGAGAAATGAATGGATCACAGAGAAAAGAGAAACTACTCAGAACGATCCGGTCTCAACTTTCCCCCCACCCTCCACCCCACCCCCTCACACACACTCACACGCGCGCACACACACACACACACACACGCGCACACACACACACACCACTCCCTTCTGCATTTCAAAGTAGCTATAAAGAAATTAAAGATGAGCGTCTCTGGAGTGAAAACACGTCCAAAGGGGGAGGGGTGACAAGGTCGGCGTGGAGGGGGGGGGGACAGAGTGGAGGGTCGGGTCCTGTAATGGTCCAGCACCCTAATTTGTGAAAGAAAGGGTTGTAAAAATTAAAGTCAGGCCCTTGGCAAAGTCACCGGTCCCTCCAAGTGGGCAATGCTGGGGAGGGGTGGGGGGCAGCGGCGAGGGGGAGGGAAGAGGCGCGGGAGGGGAAGGGGTGTCTCTTCCAGGAGCGCCGGGAGCCGCTGCCCGCGGCGCGGGAGGCGCGGAGCCGCGTGCGGGGCCGCCGAGCCCGAGCCCGAGCCCCGCGCCGCCCGGCGCAGCAGCCCCGCGAGCCCGCCGGCGCCGGTACCTACCGCCCGCGCGCGAGAAGGGGCTGTCGGTGCACCGCCGGCGCCGAGGCGGCGTTCATGTCTAACCACTGCCTCCACCACCACCACCTCCTCTCCGGCGCCCGCGCCCGCTCCTGCTCCTTCCCCGCCGCCGCCGCCGCCGCCGCCGCCACTACAGATCCGCAGACACACAGCCAAGATCCCTGACTCTTAACACCAACTCTCTTCTCCGGGGAGGGGAGGGGACGGAGGGAAGGGGGGAGGGGGAACACGCCGAGGCGCACGGAATTGCAAGTTCAGCAAAGAAATGGGTGGGGGGGCTCCGGCGGGGAGACGCGGCTCGCTCCGGGTCGGGCTGCCTGGGATGCATCCCCCCCCCACCCCCCCGAAAAAAAAAAAAAAGAAGAAAAGAAAATCTCAACACCTCCCCCGCTCGCAAAAAAATACAAACGAAAATTCATCGAGCACCTCATTTTTCCTCAGATCATCAGTTACAATCTGAAGCCTGAACAGTTGTGTTTTTGCCCATTTTCATCCATCCGAGGCACTTTGAAATGTATTCGAGTTTACATCCCCTCTCACTTCTTTCTTTCTCTTAACTCTCGTTCCCTCTCACTCACACATCCACACACGGCAAAGCAAGTTTATACTAGGCTGCAAATACACGTGATGCAAAAAGACTTTGCCAAGAGGAACAATATTTTTTTTTCTTTTCCATACATAAACCAAGCCACATTTTGCTGGGGAGATTTTCGTTTTAGTAGTTTTGCGTTGGGGGCAAAACCTGAATTGGATACTTTCTTCACCCACCCTCGTAAGTCACAGAATAGTAGAGCTGCAAACTTCGGTCAAAAAAAAAAAAAAGGCAATTTGGGGGGGTGGGTGTGGATGTTGTTTTGTTTTTACACTTGAGTTCCTAGGCACGCAAAGTCCGCGTTCGCCAGCCCTGTAAGTTTTTCATCCAACATTTACCATCATAGGCCCTGCATGCTCTTAAAACACACTTTTTCACATCACTTTTTAGGATAAAAATTAAGCTTCATAATTCTATCGTTTCATAATCACAAACGTGCTTTATCCAGTATATGAAACATACGCTATGTTAACGTGTGTTAAAAAACACATTCTACACACCCTGATATTACTAGATGCTCCAGTACATACACAAAATGCATGCACATACTTTTTCGTATTGGCAATTATTTAATAGGTCGTTCCTTTTGTTTTAATAAAGCATTGGGATAGACATTTTAAAAATTAAATTCAATTACAAACAGTTTACTCTGACAGCAAATTGTAACGTTACCTTAAATGGCCACAAATATGCTCACAATATTCCAAGGAAAGAGACTTTAAAGAGAGAAACAAAAATCTTCTGCAAGTACTTAGTATCTCACATGTGTATCCCCCAAAAAAGTATTTTAAGTAGTACTCAGTCCTGCTCCAGGGATATCCACAGATTACAAGATTATGCACCTGGCTCTGGTATTTGCATTTTCCACCATAAAACTGCAACAAAATTACCTCCCCCAAAAAATAAATCATTAAAAAAATCCAACAACTTTTTCTTATTGTTTATAAAAAAAAAATTATCAACACAGGATAGTTATAATATTTCCTCAAACAAATCTTGTTGGGTTTTTTTCTTCTCCTCTTATAAAGTCTTAAACTTGTTCCAAGTTTAGAGGTGTCTCATCATCATCATCCTCCTCATCATCATCATCACCATTGACTCCCCCGTGGAGTCACATTGATAATAATAGGTTTCCCTGAAAGATACATTGTAATCCATTCACATCCGGGCACTGCGGGCTTATAAAGAGAAGGCGCTGCGGCCGCGGCTGCTCCTCCAGACAATGACTGGGGAGGGGCGGGGCGGGAGCGAGCGACCATAGAGTGGTAAACAGAGCGCCTAGAGAGGCTGGCCAAGATGGCGGCGCGCGTCGGCCACGCCTCCTCCGGGAACGGAGGCGGGTGGCCGGGCTCGAGCCCGCGTCGCGCGTGGAGCGGCACTGCAAGGGTTCCTTGGGTTGGGGTTGGTTGCAGGCCGCGTCTCTGCGCGCTTCAACTTGTTCCAGTTCCTTGACTGACTCCGATCTTTGACACAATAGTACAGTTTCTGAATGCGTTCAGTAATTAGACTCCATAGACTTCCGCAGGGGAGTCCGCTCCTGGGTTGACCTGGAGGGAGGCTTGGAAGAGGCCGTGCGGGCCTCACCGAAGCAAGCCCGAGTCCGGGCTCCCCGGCAGTGGGGATCGGTGTTCTTCGCGAGGCGTAGACGGCGTGGGAAAAGGCTGCCGAGGCGTAGTCGTTCCTGGGATGAAAGAGGGATGCGGGTCCTCTCCCCTCCACCACCCCGCTGGCCCTCCTGCAGGTCCCCTGCCAGTGTGAGAACTTTCTCAGTCCTGAAAGTCTTCCCTTGCTCCATGTACCCTGTGTGGCCTCAAGGGGAGATGGTACCAGGAGCCACGACTGACTTCAGTTTTTTCTGTTCTGGCCAAGCAGTTACCGTCTCTATCTTGTCTAATGTGTAATGTGCAAATAGTGGTGTCTACTTTGAGAATTTTATACAGAATATGGATACAGAGGAAGCCACCACTCAAGAAAAACTCTGCTTTCACCCCTAATTCCTCAGTTAACTCACCGATGCCTCTAAATGTAGCCAACAGGATTTTAAATGAAGATTTACCTAACTCAAAAGAATAGCTTTTAGTCCTCCCAGCAGAGAAAGCCATTAATAATGATGATAGATTACAGAGTGTTTACTATGTGCCAGACATTGTCCTAAGAATTTCACAAATATTGGCTGTCTGAATTCTGAGAAAGAACCTATAGAGTATTTCTTACTGCCTTGCTTTACATATAGTGAAACAGAAGTAAGTAAAGTGGCATAGCTTGACCCAGGGCAGAAGTTTAAACTTGCCTAAGTGACGCAACTATCTGCATTGAGGGAAAGAACCCACCTTTGAAAGGCAATCTGTGATCAGAGTCCACATTAACCATGTTCCTCTGCCATCTGGCATTGGGAACGTCTTAATCTCTATTTTCTGACAAATTGGTGGCAGTAACAGAGTTCAGATCAGTTTTTAAGATCTTTTGTTTACTTCTAAGTTTTTGAGAACAAGAATTACAGCATTTTATGTGTTATTTCCTTGTCCATTCATTCACCTATTGTGATTATTCCTGTCTTTTATCCCATTACATGTTCTCATCTTAAAATAGAACTTTACATTTAGATACTACTCTATGCTGCATTATCCCAAGCCTTATCTCGCTCGAGTTCTTAGGGTAAATCTCCTACAGGCTGCACCAAAACAATGTCATGCAAAGATCACAAACTGTTGGCTTTCAGAAATATTCCTTTGACTCTAATGAACTGGGTGACCTAAGGCTCAATGTCAATGACTTTTGCCATAAAATGCAAATGTCAGATTAAATAATGCCATAAAATCCCTTTTAGCTTTTAGTTTTTTAAGTTTTCCCCTCCCTCTGAATTTCAAGGGCAATAAATGATATGTCCAGAAATCAGTAATAGGTAATGGGATCAGGTTTAAAATCTAAAGGCACCCTGTTGCTAGTCTAGTACTTTTTTTTTTTTTAACCCTACAATCAGAAAACCAAGCAACTTCCCTTCCTGTCTTAAATTAAGGGACAACTGTGGGTGTTTTTGTCTTTGTTTTTTCCTGAACTGTCAGATGATAGGTACTTTCTAATTTTACTTATGAAGATTGGAGGCACCTAGAAAAGGAGATTTGAGAAGCTTCTTTAGGGCTTTAAAAAAGCAAGTATAGTAGATATATTTTAGGGTGTTTGCTCTATCTATAGACTCCCTTGTCTAGGGAACCTGTCTGTAAATCCTGATAGAGAGGTGTATCTTACTCAACTTGAGCGACTGTAACAACATATCATAGACTAGGTGATTTAGATAACAGATGTAAATTTTTCACAGTTCTAGAATCAGTGAACTCTGAGATTAGGGTGCCAGCACTGTAAGGTTCTTGTTTGGACTCTTCTTGCCTTACAGATGACTCCCTTCTTGTAGTGAACTTATGATTAACAGAGTTCTGGTCACTCATCTTTTGAGAACACTAATCCCATCATGAGGATTAAGATTAATTTCCTTCCAAAGGTGTCTCCTAATACCATCACGTCGGGCATTTGGGCTTTAATACAGGAATTTAGGGTGGGAACAATGAAACACAAGTATTCAATATTCACAATAAGGTGGAACTTGGGTTGGTGCCACATGACTTCATCTCATCCCAGTCCCAGCGGACTAGACCACAGGAAGTAAAAAGGGAAGAGATTGACAGTAGTCTAGTGAATGAAGGAGTGGACATGAGAGTCAGCTGGCCAAAGCTGGTGCAAGGAAGCCAAGCCAAGTGAGAGCTGTGGTAATAAGGAAATAAGACTATGAGTAAGCAGAAGAAACAGCCCTCCAGATAAGAGAGAAAGGTCTTGGGAGTTCCAAGAGAAAAATAGACAAATGAGGAAATCTAAGGAAGAAATGCCTGGAGACACTTTTCCAATTATTATGAAGACTGCATTGCCTCCTGTCCTGGAGATAGCTAATTCCTGTAGTGACCTCCTTCCCCAATTGAGTTAACCTAAGTCCTTTTCTAATCCTTACAACTAAAGAGTTTAACAAATATATATATATATATATATATATATATATATATATATATATTTTCAAATTTCAATGTTGTCAAAGCCATCATTAATTTTTTTTAATAGGGATTCTTTTTCTGAAAGTAAACAAATTGCTTCATTCACACATGACAGAGACCCTATCTAATTCATGGTGACACCTCAAGTCAGGAGGGTATATACAAGTGTCATTCCTCTATCGCTTTTTGACCTTGGGAAAATTTCCCATCTTGTCAGATTTTTTAAATTGTGCCCTGTCTTAAAAAAAACCTTAAATGATTGGTTAAAATTAAATGAGATGGTGAAGATGAATGTGCTTTGAAAACAACAAATTTCTATTAAATATAATGCATTACTCTGGCATAGAATTAAGGCCTAAAACACAACACTACTTTCATAGGAGTGTGGAAGGAATGGCAATTAAGACTCAAAGAAAAAATAGATATTGAAGGGCACTTGGACCTAAACCATCATCTGCAGTTGAGTCTGTCAAGGCTCAAGTAGGATGGCTTATTCAAGGTCACCTTGCTAATAATGAGTGGTAGAGTCAAAAGTCACCTTCAGTAACTAAATGCCAAGCCAGATGCCATCGCATTCTCCTTCAAATTCCATCCAGTTTGCTCTCCTTGCCCATGTTAAAATAAATAAGCAAACATAGCCACAAACAACAAACAAACCAAAAAGTCAGCTCTCTGATGCTCTAAAGAAATTCACCGAAAAATTCAGCAAATAATTTTTTAGCATCTACCTTATGTCAGCATCTATTCTCTCAGGACCTCAGGCAAAAATGTAGGCAAAGAAATCACAATGATATAAATGTCAAGGGCAGTCTTGATTGAATGGCTAAGTCACTGTGAGCAAGACACAGCCTGTGGCAGACCTGTGCAAAAGAGAAGGCTTCCCCCACATATCTTCTATTTGATATATCCAATGGGCAGAGGTGTCCAGAACCCCAATCTAGAGCCCTACCCATAGTGAAAG